CAAGGGAGTCCCCCGAGAAAATTGTAAAACACTCCCGATCGTTCACGGGCTAGTGGTGGAGGGAGGAGAAGAGGCTGGAGAAGAGGGGTGGTCCGTCACCACCTTGATCTGTTGCTCGGGTAAGAAAGCAATTGGGCTGTAGAGATCAAGGGAAGGCGGGAGAAGCTTCATAGCAAGAGCAGCAGCACTAGGAGGAGGAGGAGGAGGAGCAGCAGCAGCAGCAGCAAGATGAGAGGAGGAGAAGCAGGAGAAGCAAAATGAGAGCAGATGACTGAGGAGCAAGGAAAGCAGGAGCAGCAGCAGCAGCAGCAGCAGCAGCAGCAGGAGCTCACTTGGACGATCTCTGCGACGAGGATGGAGATGATGTTGTTGTCTACCAAGAGCTTGTGTGAGATTCCTGCCACCTTCATCGCCGTCAGGAGGAGAAGCGACAAGTCACGTTACCTCGCTCGGTGCGATGGCGCTGCTGCTCCTCATTGAGAAAACTGAATCCGAATCTCCTGCTCCTCCTCCTATCGGCTCGATCTCGATCCTCTTCCTCCAGGGGAAGGGAGAGATGGAATGCTGTCGATGCAAACATGTTACTCCCATCGCCATCTCCGTCGTCGTCATCATCATCATCATCAGATGCATGATTGTCAATGTCATATTCATCAAAATTGTCATCGTCATCATCATCATTATTGTCATCATCATCATTCATCATCATCATCATCATCATCATCATCTCCATCATCTCCATCATCTCCATCTCATCATCTCCATCTCCATCTCCATCATCTCCATCTCCATCGCCATCATCATCATCTCCATCTCCATCGCCATCGCCATCCTCATCATCATCATCATCATTGTCATCATCATCATCATCATCATCATCATCATCATCATCATCATCATCACCTCGTTTCTGTCAACAAGGGTGTCTTCATCTGCATCCCCCTCTGCATCTTCCATCCTGCACGTCTCCTCCTCCAGCTCTCTCACCCTCTCCTCGAGCTCAACAATGCTCCGCTCAGCATACCGCAACTTCTCGCTGACGTGCAGAAAGTTTCTTCCTTCACCCTCATCTTCTCCTCAGCCGCATCTCTTTCCTCCTGCAACGCTGACAACTGATCGAGAAGAGACTCGTTCTCCATCCTCCTCTCCTCGCACATCGCACAATTCTCCTCCCCCTCCTCCTCTCGCTCCCTTAGCACCTCCTCCAGCTCTTCCGTCTTCGCGCGGGACAGGCGGAGCTCGTGCTCGAGGTTGTCGATCTTGGCGAGCATGTTGGACACGGAGGTCTGGTGGCGAGCAAGAGACTCTTCAGCTGTCAGCCTTCCGCTCCTGTGCTCTTCGCTCTCTCTCAGCACTCGCTCCATCCTCACTGCGTTCTTCCAGTCGTCGAAGCAGCTCTCGACCCCGGACATGCCGACGTGTCGCCATGTTTGTATCGCTCGTTTCAGCCGCTGACGCTCTAACTTCGACTTCCTGACGCTGAGGAGGAAGAGGTCGAAGGAGGCTGCTTGCTGCGAGGCATGTATCCTCCTTACCACGTTGTGCGAGTTTCTCTTAAACCTTGCTCTGAGAGTGAGGTACCTGCGGGGTGTGCATAGTTAGTTCGAACAGGGAGAGCGTGAAAAAGCAAATGAGACATTTAAGAGCAAAGTTATCACCGTCATCATCATCATCTCCATCATCATCATCATTGTCATCATCATCTTCAGCATCATCTTGTCATTGCCATTGTCATTGTCATTGTCATTGTTATTTCCATCATCATCTCCATCATCATCATCATCATCATCATCATCATCATCATCATCAATATCATCATTATTGTCATCATTGTCATCAACTCCATCATCATTGTCATTGTCATTGTCAACATTGTCCATCATCATCAGCTCCATGAACTGGACCAACAACATGACAACGAACAACCTGATCACGAACAAAACACAACCTCCTCCAGCAATCACTCGTCCAACCACAACATCCCCTCATGTATCTTCGACGTGTCACCTGTTCTGCGAGATTTCCAGCATCCTTTCGTAGTTCTCCTTCACTCTCTTCGCATCTGTCACATGCTGATGTAGCTCATGCTCCAGCTGCTTCAGAGCTTCCTCCGAGATGTCCATCACAAACTTTCCTTCCTCCATCCCCAACTCCCTCCCCATCCTCCTCACGATCTTGGCAAACGTTCGAGGAAGACTCTCCTCTCTCCTCACCCACGTCTCTGTATCCCTTGTCTCCTCCCCCTCTTGGTCCTGCTCCTCCTCTCCTGCCGCCGACCGTTATCACTTCCTCCACGACAGACCCTCCTCACCTCCTCCAGTTCCTCAGTTTCTCCTCCTCCTGCCATCATCCTTGCATTCTCTTCCTGCCAGCTCGACGATCGCTCGCCCTGCCAGTTGACTCCCAACTTGTCCGAAGCTGTCGATCGGAGAGGATACCCAGCAAATGCCTGCCGTGATCTGATAAGTCTCCTCCTCCTCCCCAATTAATGATCATCATCTCCATCTCCATCTCCATCTCCATCTCCATCATCATTGTCATAATCATCAACAACAACATCATCATCATCATTGTCATCATCATTGTCATCATCATTGTCATCATTGTCCATCATCACCAGCTGATTTTTGTTGGTAGCTGCGAGTTTGCTCATTGCCTCTTTCTTGCTGTCACCAAAAGATGACAAGAGGTACAGCAGCTGGCAAATGAAGTTCATACAAGTCCAACCTTCCTCTTCCCCTCCCCGCCCCAACCCTCCTTCTACCCTCCCTCCTCTTCCTTCCCCCCCCCTCCTCCGTCGTCCTCCTCCTGCATTTCACCTTCCCTCCGAAACGACGAGCAGTGGCAGAGGAAGCATTCTCCACAATGTCTCTGCGAGCGTGTCAGAGCAGAGGACACGTGGTTGCATGAGGAGACGGGAAGAT